TCCTTCCTTCCTTCCTTCCTTCCTTCCTTCCTTCCCTCCCCCCTTCCTTTCCCTTCCCACTTCCTGTCCTTTCCTTCATTATGATAATCGTCCCCTGGGTGTGAAATGGCATCTTGTGTTATGGATTTGCATTTTCCAGGCGAGTGTCTTTCTCTGCGCTCCCTGGCCACTTGCGTCTCACCGTCTCACCGACCGTCTCCCACTCTTTGGTCCAAAAGGAAGGGGAACAGCGCCAGCGGCCTCCAAGGTGCTTTGTGCTTGGAGTTCCTATACGAATTTGGAAAAATGTCCTTTGGTACTTTTTTAGGTTGGGAGCCACCGTTTTCGTTTTCTGTCATTAAGTTCACAAGGCTGCAAAGGGTGTATTGTAAATACCAGTTTAAAAGGATACAATGGTCCCTCACTCTCTAGAAGCAAAACCCGACGTTCTGTCCCACTTCCAAGGTCATCCAGCAAGTCGTATCGCTCAGTCACAGACAAACCGAGCCAGAAAACCACTCTGCGCCCCGAGAGAACCCCAAATCTGAGTCCCCCCGGTAATAAAATCCTGTTTCTTTCCTGTGGACCTGTGATAACACCAAGAATCTCAGGCTGCCCTTTGCCCTTCCCAGTCTGCGGTCCTGACCTTCAGGGTCGGCCTAATCGTGAGAAAGTGGCTGCTGGAGACTAGGTCTTCTCCCGAACTTTCTTGCCTTTTAAATACTTGACCGTATTTTTGTGCGGGGCCTTCTGAAGTCTGCCTCCCCTGCCCTCTTGGCAAGAAAATGGTCTTTTCTTTTCCTAAATGCAACTGCCCCCCGCATCTCCCTTGGGCAATTCTTTTAAATATATCAAATGAAATGTAAATAATGCAGCAATGTGACCTCACAATACCCAAGACCGGAGGGGGGGGATTCCTAGTTCTCTTCCCTTCCCCCCAGGGGCGTCCTGTGTCACTTCTTCCACTGAATCTTACTTTAATAAAAACATTTTTATGTTTGAAAGTCACTAATCACTCAAGCAGAGGCCTCTGGAACAAAAACATAATTTAAATTGAAAATGTTTTATTTCCCGTGACTCTAAGTCTCTCAGTTAAAAAAAATTTTTTTATTCTGGATCGAGTGAGTAATGGAATTAGTCAATTGACCGAACCAACATTAAGTGTATTAAATTGTGTATATATTGGGGCGCGTGGGTGGCTCAGTGGGTTAAGCCACCACTTCAGCTCAGGTCATGATCTCACAGTCCGTGAGTTTGAGACCCACGTCAGGCTCTGTCCTGACAGCTCGGAGCCTGGAGCTGGCTTCGGATTCTGTGTCTCCCTCTTTCTCTGCCCCTCCCCTGCTCATGCTCTGTCTCTCTGTCTCAAAAATAAATTAAAAACACATTAAAAAATAGTGTACATATTTATTACATACATATATAAAAGTTAAATGTTTGAACGTCTCTTCATGGGATGGATAGGGCGCATGTTTTCAAACGGTTCGTGTGTCTTTGGATGACTATTGCTTATGATCTGAGACATGGTCCAGAATCTCTTCGTCCCTGGTGTGAGTGTGTTGGTGAAGATTCTGAGAAGACTTGTTTCTATAAATTCCCACCCGGTAACGGGAGAAAGGCGCCAGGGCTAGGTGCCTCCTCTTTCTGAACCGCTTTAGCGATTTAAGTCAAAAGTCACAAAAGCGACTTATCACCAAAAACATTTTAAAAAATTGATTGGATCGAGTTGTCCTCCAGATGAGCAAGATTGCGGGCTTTCTCGGCACTCCCGGTAGGTGAGTGGCCCCGGGTCCCTCCCTGGTCCCCAGGATCCCCCACCCTCCTCACGACGTGGAGGTGTCCTTGAGGTCCCGGTCTGAGGCTGCGGATCCTCGCTGACCCAGCGACCCGGATCCCGACCCCCTCGGACCCGGCCCGCTGCGCTTTAGCTGCGCCCGCGCGGGGGAGGGGAGGGGCGGGCAGGCTGCAGGTGTCTGGGCGCTCCGGTAGGGTTGATGGTGGGGGCCTCCCCGGACAGCCGCGCCGACTGTCCGGACGGGGGGGGGG